AGAAGATATGCTGAGATATTGTGTACTGGAATTGAAAGGGTCATGGGAAGATTATCTGCCTTTGGCCAAGTTTGCATACAATAATAGCTACCAAGCTAGCATTCAGATTGCAGCATATGAACTTCTTTATGGAAGAAGGTGTAAGTCTCCTATTATTAGGATGATGTTGAAGAAAGAAAACTTTTTGGATCAGAATTGATACAATAAATAATTGATAAGATTCAATTAGTTAAAGAATATTTTCGCACTGTACAAAGTCGTCAGAAGAGTTATGTTGATCAAAGAATGAGAGAATTAGAATTTTAGGTTAGTGATCATGTTATTTTAAAAGTTCCGCCTACCCGTGGAGTAAAAAGTTTTGGAATCCAATGGAAGTTAAACCCGAGATTTATCGGTCCCTTTGAAATTCTAGAACGCGTTGGTCCAGTGGCGTACAAAGTAGCATTACCATCATCTTTATCCGGAGTACATGATGTATTTTACATATCGATATTTCGGAAGTTCATCCGAGATCCAAATGTGATCGTTGAGTTATCCACAGTGGAGCTCAAGCCAGACTTGACTTATGAAAAAAACAAAATGTATTGTGGATTATAAAGAACAAATACTTGGGCGTCGAATAATCAAATATATGAAAGTTCAATGGAAGAATCACTCTGAAAGAGAAGCCACTTGGAAGATGGAAGATTCTATAAGAGAAAAACATCCAGAGCTCTTTGGAGATTAAGGTATATTAAGTTTCGATGACGAAACTTTTTATTAGGAGGTGAGAGTATAGTAGCCTAAGTAATTAGTGCTTCAAAATTTAATTAATGAAAAAAATTTCTTAAATAAAGATTAGGGAAACTAATTAAGGAGTTTCTTTGAAATTTCACCACTAGCTCTTAATAAACTGCCAAGTATGTGTTTTAATGGCTAAAAGTCATTCGATGTTTTGGGTGGCACATTCTCAACAGAAGAATAAACGAAAAATAAAAAGAAACCCACAAAAAAATTCTCTCATCCTCAACAAATTCTCTAGGAGCTAGAGAAACCTCGTGAAGGGAGAAAGTAAAACCAAGAAAATAAATCAGTACCCAAATCATTAAGGTATAACCCACTTTCATTTTGCATAGTAAATTCTGGTAATTTGAATCAAAATAGAATGAGTGAGGATGATAACTTGTTATAATTATAAAGCTAAGAACTAGGATTGCAAAAGAGAATTTTTATGTGTTTAAGATTTATGTGATTGACTGGAGGGAAAAAAAGAAGAAGAAAGAAAATAAAAACTAACCCTAGATCCGAAGAAGATCACGCCGCCAGCCACTCTTATCGCAAGCAATTCTGTACCATCATGGCAAGAGATGGGGGGAGAGACAGAGATACCTCAGACGGTTCAACCGAAAAAAAAGAAGAGGAACGGGGAAAAAGAAAGAAAAGAAAGAAAGGATGAAAGAGGAAGACGATCAGGTATAGAGCAACATAAAAGGGAGGAAACTTTTATCAAGACCCCATAAGTTATTTTAGTTTTACTAATAAACCCTCTTGAGTGGAGGATAGAGAGTTATGACCTTAAAAATTCATTCTAAGTCCCTATAAACCACAAAGATTTGTAAATAAACCATAAAGAGAAATCTAGGATAATATATGAGTAAGATAATTATGTATAGACCCCTGATATTTACTCTGTTTACAAATAAGTCCAATCTAAAGAATAAAAGACAACTTTTGAGCCTAATTAATTTCCTATAACTCTCTTTCTTATCATAAATTATTAGGAAGTCCAAAAGCTAGTGCAGGAGGGTTCTAAAATTTTGATAGATTGCTAAAGTTGGCAATAAGTACCCTAGTTATAGTAATTTAATTATTATTGATCATATTTGAATTTATTTCGCTCTAGATTATGAATTGATTAACCTATAATACATGTTGTCGTGAATTAATATTAACTTTATATATTCATATTATACGTTCTGGTTGATATTCAGGAGAATAATATTTTGAGGAAGTTGTGACCACTAGAGGTGAGTTCATTTCTCACTAGTATTTTTATACTATAAAATTGCATGAGTATTAATAATTGATTGATCTTGATTATTCTATTATTTTTTCATATATAGAAAATGACATGTGATTTGATCGATTCTTATGATTTTAATTTCTAATGAGATATTAAACGTAAATTTGATTTCATATAAAATATGAAAAGTGAATTTGGCCCTCACGCGATCTCAAATAATTGTGAATATTGCTTTTACTGAAAGCTTTTGAAGAAATATTTTGAACGTGTTTCAACAGTTTAATGGATTTAAAGATTTTCCATGACTTAGTATCTGATAAAAATGAGGAAACAGCAAAATCCGTAAACTATTTTAACTAAAATGATGAGTTTTAAACTCGTCCACTTGATTTAAAAAAAAAAGCAAATTCTAATAACTGATGTGTTTCTAATTTAATAAGTGATTCTCGATGCCTTGAAACCTCAAAAAGTCCACTATGGAGTATTCTGTCATCCATATGGTGAATGCACCTTTATTTGGCTAATCTGTAATCAGCTCTTCTGTAATCAGCCCTTCTGTATTTGGCCCTTATGTATTTGGCCCTTTTAAAATTTATTGTGGCCTCTCTGTATTTGACCAGTAACCTATGACAGTATTAGCTGCAATCGATTCCCGGGAATTATTTATTATGTGATACGTTTTACGTATTTCCATGCTACTAGGCTATAATTCGTAGTCTTACTATGACCTATGAGGTGATTTTCACATTCACGAATGACTCATCGAGATTTAAGTATCTGATAATTGACTGTTGACTGTGAAATAGAGAAAATCACAAACCTTTGGTTTTGCACAAATTTAATAGTCCATTACTTTCTTAGTATTTACCTTGTTTTAAAAAGGGGTCTGATTTTAGAATATATTACAGTATATTTAGTTTGCAAATAAGAAAGAAACATAAACTATTGCATTTCTTCCATACAAAATAACAATAGTATATTGTTTTGACCATACTTGCTATTTTTGAAATTGTGGTGCAAAACTTATAATTTGTTATTTCTAAAAATTATTATTATTGTTATTATTTTGTTAGTTGTCTAGGAACTCTAGTGGAAAATGTTCTCACTAAGTCCTAGCTCACTCCGTTGTTTTCTTAATTTTTCAGATCTCGCCTAGCTATATTATAAACTAAACTTTTGGTTATGGCACATCGCTGAAAAACATTATATGGGAAAACCTCCTCTTTAGTGTTTCATGCAGTCAACAATATGCATTATTTTGTCAAATGCTTGTAACGGCGAGCTTGTGGTTGTAAGTACTGATTATATATATAATGGCTTTGAACTTCTATCATCAGCAAATTTATATATGTTTTGAGATAAGCTCTGTGATATGAAGTGTCAGGTTTGACTCATGTTCGGGACTTGTCTCGTGCATGGGTCACTACTATCACGTAAACCGTATTTATGAATTTTCGCTATAAATTCGAGGCGTGACAATACTTATGTGATTTATTTTGTCATCTAAAATTATATTGGAGTTACCATTAATCTTTAGTATATATTTTTTTGATTTTAAGTCTATTAATAATTAAGATGTCTTGCAATCTTGTGAAAAGTACGTGCTCTGTACTGAGCCTAAACAAATCATCTTAATATTAAGTATTTGGTTTTATTTTTATTAGCACATCAACAATATATTATTGTATTTTTTTAAACTTAACACTACATTTAATGATTAAGATAAACAAATTAGAGATCGATGATTTGATCCGATAAACAAATATGTTACATGAAGTTTGATATATACAAATTCAAAAAAATAATGTTGTGTATGTAAGCACATAAAAGTATATTGATCCTAGTTTTAGACAATTTTATTTCATAAAATTTTTTAAAAAATGTTTGAATAAATTTTATGATAAATGTAATAATTCATCTTTATATATTTTAACTCAAAATGAATCTGACTTATTTTATAGTAAAAAATAAATAAATAATGAATACTTTTGATATTTAACCATGTGCATTGCATGTGCACAACTAGTTGATTAGAAATATCTTTATTTGCATTTCTCTCCATTTTCTCGAATAGAATGGGAGTCAGTAACTATGTGCAAATCAATAATCTGAGCCATTGATCAATAGTTCAAATCAAATGTACCAAGCATGGAATGTTCACTGCCACGCATTAAAGAAGATGAAAAGTAACAGTACTTCAGTAAAACATATAGATGTTTTGGCAATATTGGCATTGTTCATCCCTAATACAATGGGTACGGGGGGTAACTAGCTGTCTATTTTGTTAAAAGATACTACATTAAAATATAGGACAAATTTTGAAAACCATCCTATTTGAGAAAATAATTGCAAAAATCGACCCATTCACAAAATATTTGTGAAAACCGACCCAGTTTCAACCGTCGGGCTGAAATTAGGTCGGTTTTGAAGAAAAATCTTTCGAAACTTCACGGGACTCCAAGTCCCGTGAAGTTTTTGTACATAACAAAACTTCACGAGACTTGAAGTCCTGTGAAGTTTCGGAATATATTGTCAAAACCAACCCAATTTCAGCCAGATGGCTGAAACTAGGTCGGTTTTGACAATTTTTTTTAGAATAGATCGGAATTTGCGTTTTTTTTTGTAAATACAATGGTTTTCAAAATTTGTCCTAAAATATATAATGAGCACAGTAGATTAGATGCTTGCTTCAGCAATAAATTCAAATCTATAGTGATATTTAAGTTATCTCCAAAGTAAATCAAGAACCAGACCAGGAACTGGGGATATACATTTGAAGACCAAAGATATCAGAGGTAATAGCTAAGACGACAAAAATAATGATAGAAAGATTTATCTTTCTAGGAATTTCTTTTAAAAGAACGATGACATAGATAAGACTAAATTGAGTTAATCAAAGGGGTTATCTACAATAATTGAAAAAAATTGACATCCAGAAGTAGGCCTAGCCAATCTGAACATTTAATTTCTGCCAACTTAAGCATTACGCAACACTCACCAAGTATCAATTGCTTCCTGAACTAGGGCAGGATTTCCAGATTGGCTACAGACTCTTGCTCTTCCAAAATCTTCCTCAATATTGAACACATCTGGGGCTACATTGGCACAATTCTTGCAACCTTCCACACAAGAAGAAAATGAGACTTATTCATAAACTAAAAGATATAGAATAAGTGACAACACTAATTTATCCTCTGGAGGAAAAAATCTCCCTATGGTTTCTAGACATTTTACAATATGTACCATGTGAGGAATTGTGTATGAACACTAGTTTTTGTGAAACGTGAAGAATATAAATGAGGTTGATACAGAACTCTTAGGTTAAGCTTTTGTCTCAGATTGGGTCTTTGTTCGTAATTGCACTGTGTAAAATTATCTAAAGCCTGATTCATCATAGAAAGCAAAGAAAAGGTCTTCACTTCTTGCGAAGAAGTACGATTCAAGCTCATAGCCATACAGGAATATGGAGATGTTGGAGGCTAAGACCTGATGCTCCATAAGCAGATGATGCACCAGGAATATCCTAGTGGATGATTGTGAACCTAAAGACTGTGCTTGCACAAAGATAATTAGGGATAAGAGTCATAAATGTGAGAGCGATGTAAACCTATCATCTTCACTTTTGAATAAAAATTAGGTCTCAATTCACAGGATGCTGTCACTATGTGAACTGCAAGTAAGCCCAACATGATATATATAAATATGAAGTTAGACCTGCATCTATCATCTTTATCTTCCAATCTATGTTGCACGGGTACTTCTATCATGAAGCCGTACCTATACCCAACACTTGTCGTACTCGACACTTCACCAACACTCCTTACATATGTACACATTTATTTAGAGGTGCACTCAATTATACAATACATGCTTTAATTTAAAACACTCTCCATACACTTCTTGGACGTATGCCTCTACCCTTTACATCTAGTTCTGTAAGTTGTTGGACAAGGGTTAGGTTCATTTCAACCCATACTCGGTAAAGAACTGCGATTTATGGGTCATTTGCTACCTAGCTTAGAGGCATGATTGCAGCTGATGTGTTTCAGCCGTGTCCCTGTAACCTACCATTTATAAATTTCCCGTGTCTCGTACCCATACATGTGCCTGTACTTGTATCCATGCAACATAGCTTCCAGTCAATTTGGGACTAGGCTCATATGGTGTCTTCACTATAGGAACTGCCCAAGAGGCCAATTGTATATTTGAAACAATACACGCATCCACATGTCTAGCCAGTTTGTTTCCAGGTTACAACGGAAAAAAGTGAAATAGAAAAATATTTTGAGAGAATGAGCAGAAAATATCGTAGAAAGGAAAAGAAAGAGAAGAGGGAAAAAAACAAATAAAAGTAGAAAGAAGGAAACGGAGGAAAGCATGGTACATTCTTCTCTTTTTTGCTTATAGACCTATAAGGTACAGACAATGTCATGTTGGAATGGCTACATATTGGCTTCTTGACTTCTTGATATTCTAGGAGTAATTCACGAGGAACAAGTGATGCGGTTAAGTTAAATTTATTTTTAATTTTTAGCTGCCAATATTAATGTCCTTGCATAGAGGTGACATGCATACATGAATATATGCATACATGAAGATAGTAATGGGTCTTTGTGTCTAAATTTTGATAAGTCCCTTGTCCCACACTCATATCCATGCTGCCAAGTAACGGTAGACCCTATTTGTAAGATGTTGTATAGTGTTCAATACAAATTGGAAGCGTACTTAAATATAAAGTACATTTCATAGAACTTCCTGAAGAATGGGGGTTTTGCACAAATCCCCTGAACATAAAAGAAAGGGTAAATTTCACTAACCCCAGTAAGTTTGGGCATTCTAGAAAATCCCAAAAACATTTTAAGTCTTTTTTCGCTTTAACCCCAATAATTACTTTATGATATTATGTGATATTTTCTTCTTGGGAACCCAAAATATGGGCTTACATCGTTCTGGAGGTTAAGTGAAAAATAAAAATATTTTGGAAGTTTTCTAGAATACCCAAACTATTGGGTACCCTCACATATTGAATATTCAAATTATATAAAACCCCCTTAAATATTGAAAATTAACATAAACAACATTAATGTGAAGGGTAAAAGGTTTTTAATGTCAGGACACTAAATTGATGAGAAGTAGGGGGCTAGATTGAGGATGTGGGCAGCGTGGAGGAGTAAATGGGAATTCGGTGAGGAAGGAAAAAGAGAAGGGAAGGATGATGGAGAGGAAGGAGGGAAGGAAGTGGGGAGGATGTCCATGGAGATGGCTAGAGGGAGACGTGGCAGACAACTGTGGAGTAGATGGGTTCCAGGTAGGATGAAAAAGAGGACAAGGCCGACAGGTGACAGGCTGAGGAAGGAGAGATTGAAGGGGAAGTTAGAGGGTGTTATCTGAAGTCTACAAAAAGAGGAAAGAGGGTATTTGGTAAGGGAAGGTGGGAAGTCTGTCGAGAAGTAGAGTCCGCTGGGGCCACAGCTCTAGCGAGCTTAGGGGAGTTTCATGCAAACCCACATATCTT